CTTCATACCTGGCCTGCTGCTGTTGGTTCAAGGCTTATTTGACAGAGGGCGCGCGGGCTGCCAGCACCCTTGTGCTGGTCTTCGAAGCGAGTAGCGCTCGTGCCTTTCACAAAGCACGGGCTGGTGAAGCGACAAGCGTTCCTCTCTTCAGGTCAGCTCACAAAGTGCACAGTTCGCCCCCTATGCCGAAGAAATCTGTTTGCAGGAAGCCCTCGAAGTCAGTCCAATCCGCCTTCCATTCACGGTTCATGAAATCACATTTCCCTTGTCCCCAGTTGCAGCAAGTGTGTTGCCCCAATGTCCGGTCCGAGCCTGACGCTGGCAGGCGCTGGCCTGACGTTGGATTTGTGTCAGAACGAGAAGGTCGAGGCAGGCAAACAACCTCACGACATTGGAGGACTCGCCCAGTTCAGACTTTCTTGGAAATTGCAAAGTGTACAGTTGACCAAGCACTGTTGTCGCTGCCCCTGTCCCAGATCCCCCGAGTGCGGACGCCGTGTGGGCGGAGTGCCCAGGTCATCATTGAAGGGAGAGGAAACACAACATGATGAGGGGGAAAAGAACACAAGCAACACCACAACCAAACAAAACCCACCAAACCGAAACAAGCACCAAAAACCAAAAAGCCCCCACGGCCAAAGACCGATTCCCCCTCATCTAAACGTGTTTCCTCTGTACTAGGGTGAGACAAATGCAAAAAGGCAAAAGCTGACTCTAACTAACTATGGGCCTGAATTCAGTACGAAAGTCGGTCGGCATGGCCAGCACAAGAGCGGAGTGCAGCGGAGCCTATCAAAGGGGCCTCGCCCCACCCACAAGACTGTGACCAAGAGGGCCACTGCATCGAGTGGCGAAAGTGATGATCGGGTGCTTTGCAAGAGCTGCATTGTTTGTTGTCAGCCAGTCTGATCCTTGCCCAGGGGAATCAGTTGTTGCTCTGCCTAACAAGCCGTGGAAAAGGCCCATCTCGTGGCACAACCCTTTCAATTGATTGCACGACAGAGACGAGAGGCATGTCGATTGTCAGACAGTGGAGGCAGAGACAACGAAAGGGGTTCGCTGACGAAAGTGATGCCATCCCCCCTGAAGGGAGGTCACCATTGCACCCCTTAGCATTCATGGAGTGCCAATGTGGTACTCTCTGTTCCAGAAGGAGAGAGAGGTACTGAGATGCGAAAGTTTCCTGTTGCGTGCAAGGCCCGGGTGAAACCAGTGAAACGTGGACCTATCCTAGCATGGTTCTTGTGCCCCTTTGTACAGCAATGGTCATGGCATGGCCGCTGCAAGGAGAACTAAAGTTCCCCCTGGCAACCTTCCATTACCATTCTCTACCACCCGCCTCTTAGGAGCGAAAGCTAAGGCTCTCATTCCTGCAGGCTCACTGTAATGTTGTTACTGAGGCCGAAATGATGGCTTCGCCTGAGCTTTCGTGGGCCTGACTCACAACCTCGACACAGCAGAATAGCAGTCCATCCCCACTGTCATCCGAGCGTTGCCAGTCTAACATGTGGCGTCATGGAAGTCGTCTCTCCATTGGTCATTGGCATATGGCGGCAGGAATCGGAGCCACTGGGGCTTGTCCAATTGCTCGCATTTGTCAAAGGCATTGAGCCGGGCATATGTACCTCGCCATGTCTTGCTTTTCCCTTTTTTACGAACTGCTCGAAGTTGCGTGCAACCTGCAAAAGCACGCCGCGCAATGTAAAGCAGAGATGGTGGGGCGCAGACTTCTTGCAGCGAGGTACACTTGAGAAAGGCTTCTTGCTCAATGATTCGTAGGTTTCGGGAAAGGCTGAGTTGCTGCAGCTGCGAGCAGTGCGCAAAGGTTGAGCCCAAAATTTCAATGACGTCCGTTTGGGACAAATCAACCGTTTGCAGCTGCTGGCAGCTCGTACAGGCGGCCACTCCTATCCTGTGAAAATCTGACGGTAGATAGAGTGCGACGATGCCTGCTTCCAGGAAGCAGCAGTCAGGCAGACTTCGGTTCAGATATGTAGGGCCTCGCCCTTCCTTACCTAAATCGAGGCGCTGCAGGGCCGTGCATCCTTGAAACACACGGGGCCGCAATTGTGCTTGGGGGGCGAGAGTATTGTTAGGGCACTGCGTCACTCCTATTTGTGTTAGGGAGCAACACTCCTCGAAGACCTTAGCGCCGAAATGTTGGCAGCCAGGGGCAATCACTACTCGTAAGGCTCGGCAGCGGCTGAAGGCACCATGCAGCAGGCTGACGACCGTGTCTGGCAGGTGGACCACTTGCAGCTGTCGACAACTTCTCCACGCCGCTTCTCCTACAATCCGCATACCGGGTTCAACTAGGACATGTCGGACTTCCACGTGAAAGGAGAAGGCTTGCGGTGGGATTTTATCATTCCTACCACGCGGCACTCTGATTGCCTTGGCTTCCCCTTTGAGTTGCCCTTTGTGTGCTGCCTCTACAAAACATGGCCGAGCAATCACATAGTAGCAGTGGTTGGCTCTTAGTTTGCTCTGTATGGGGTCTGCTAGGACTTGGTGGGTGTCTATTTGCACAAATTGCAACTCACACCCCAGGGTGCTACTGCATCCTAAATAGGGGAGCTCTGCTAATACGGCATTTTCAAAACTCCGAATGCCGGTATGTGCATTCAGATCTACCTCAATGGGCAGCTTCTCTCCTGCCAGCGTGAGGAAGGCACAGGTCTGTGCCACCATCCTTTCTTCACAGCAGCGAGGGCTGGGCCCAGGCGTATCAGCAGGCGTGCTCACTCTTGCAAGTTACTAGCTTGAGCCATTAGAGTTGCAGGGTAGGTATGTGTGGTTTCAACAAGCCCTAGTGCAGAGCGTTAATGGCCATCTACTCCCTTGGCTTAGAAACTGCACGCACGTATGGTTGACTGTGCACAAGGGCGCAAGTTGACCTGGCCGGACCCGAGCTAAGGCTCGCACCCAGCCTGGATGGATTGTGGGGAGACCACAGGCTGTTACATTTGAACAGGGTCACTTCAGGCTAAACCAGAGACATACCCTGTGTCCGGAATCATGTGTAGCCATGGCGGCCATCTCATGTCTGGGCATATGGCGAAAGCATTTTCTTCAGCATAAACCCCGCGCCGTCTGCGCCGGCCTGGCAACTTGACTAGCCTCTTGAAAGCAGTGCAGTCCAAGAAAGCTCTACTCGCTATGTATTTAAGTGAGGGTGGTATAGCAAGTTCTGGCAGGGCCGCACAGTTCATGAAGGCCTTGACTCGAATCGTACGGAGTGTCTTCGGGAGACGAACTTCTTTGAGGCTCGTGCAGTGCACAAAGGTAAATTCTTGTATTTCTTCGATTTGTGTGTTTGAAAGGTCAACATTCTTGAGCAGGTGACAGTTGTCGCAAGCATGCGCTCCTATGACTTTAAAGCCCTGCGTTAGCGTTAGTGTAGCTATCCCTGTAGAGCTGAGGCAGCCTAGAGCCAATTCCCTGGCAGTGGGTTGCAGCCTCTAAAGAGGTAATGCCCAAACTTGGTGGAGCTGCTAAAACGGTTGGCACTTCCTTCAGTGGTATGGACCCACTGCAGTGAGCAGCACTCATCAAAAGCTTTGTAGCCAAACTCTCGGCAACTAGGGGCAGTGACACTATTGAGCAGTTTACAGCTTCGAAATGCGTTGTCACAAATGCTAACGACTGTTGACAGCAGCTTGACAATTCGGAGCTGACGGCATGAGTGCCATGCTTCTGGGCCAATAAGGCGAATACCTGAC